AAATCAATATGGCTAACCTGATCCAAAACACCCACCCACCCCACTCACACACGAGAACCTGAGAGCTTCCACATGCAAAGCAGATGCTCTGGGCCTTCCCCTATGTGGGTGGGGTAAGCAGTAAAGTCTAGCTGGCTCGGAGGTTGTCGTCTTCTGCATCTTTATGATGGGGGAGGAAGGGAAAGGAGAATGTTAGCCGCTTTGAGACTCCTTAAAGGGAGTGAAAGGCGGGATATCAAATCCAAACTCTTCTTCTTCTTCCTTTACGGTGGTCCTTTCCACCTTAAGGGGTCCCATCAGAGAAAGTAAGGTGGAGATCAATATCTTAATAAAACATAGTAAAAAATAATTACCCTCACACCCACGTTTTGCAGGGTCTTCCTGACTACGAAAACATACATGAACTCCCCTACTTGGATATGGTGATAGCAGAGACTCTGCGCATGTATCCACCAGCGTTCAGGTTAGTAGAAATCCCTCTTCCAGAATCTGTCGTGCACGCTTTCTCAGGCCAGGACTGGGTATTCAGAATCTGGCAGTGGCTGGATTGCTGCTGCTGCTGTGCTTTATTTGATTTCAGTCCTGCCATTTGATCCAGAAGGATTGCCAAAGCAAGATTGTATAACATAATACAATATAAAAACATGGGGGCTGTTTTAGCCCCTTCCAAAGGCTTAGTGTTGCTCTGGCATTGGCTGAACAGGTGCCGCTGCAGAGGAGAAGGGACGAGATGTCTGGTAATTCCTTCAAAACAAGTGCTTTTTGAGCCCTGCAGGGCCCTGTGACTGCGTAGTCCTACCGAGGCCAACATTTATTTATTTTCTTTTTCTTAAAAATGTCTATCCTACCTTTTTACCAGCCAGGTTGCCTACGCTGCTGCTATTTGATTTCAAAACAATGCAAAGATGAACTTTCAAAGCAGACTGAAACAAAACAACCTAAAAATATTCACAGTTCAAACGGCAGCAACTAAAAATAGAAAGAGGCAGGTTCATCTTATCTGATATTAAAAGCTTGAGAAAGAGAGGACAGCTGTAACCTGGTGCCTAAAGGATAACAAAACACCAGTGTCAGATGAATATGGTTGGGAAGAGACCACAGAGGTGGCCTGGTCCTTAGTGAGGAAGGGGAAGCAAAGGTAGAGGGACTTGGAACAAGGCCTCCTCTGAGGATCTTGGCATATGGGACATGGCAATACTTAAAGATGCACTTGCCCCCAAGCTGTTTAGAGAGATATTTAAGCAGAAATACAGCTAAGCCAAAAGGGCACCCAAATTCTGCTGCCATATTCAGAGGTGCAAAACTGGGAGGCAGGGTTTTCAGGGGCATGGTGGGCAGAATGAGAGGAGGATCTCACACACAAAAAGCCTTGCTAGATCAGGCCAGTGGTCCTTCTTAGTCTAGCATTCTGTTCTCACAGTGGCCAGCCAGATACCTGTGGGAGGCCCACAAGCAGGACTTGAGCTCAACGGTTACTCTCCCATCCTGCAGTTTCCAGCAGCTGATATTCAGGATACTGCCAGGAAGAGCTGCTGTGGGTGCCATTTCACCCACACTACCCACCCACTAGGGACGCGGGTGGTGCTGTGGGTTAAACCAGAGCCTAGGACTTGCCGATCAGAAGGTCGGCAGTTCGAATCCCTGTGACGGGGTGAGCTCCCGTTGCTCGGTCCCTGCTCCTGCCAACCTAGCAGTTCGAAAGCACATCAAGTGCAAGTAGATAAATAGGTACCGCTCCAGCGGGAAGGTAAACAGCGTTTCCGTGCGCTGCTCTGGTTCGCCAGAAGCGGCTTAGTCATGCTGGCCACATGACCCGGAAGCTGTACGCCGGCTCCCTCGGCCAATAAAGCGAGATGAGCGCCGCAACCCCAGAGTCGGCCACGACTGGACCTAATGGTCAGGGGTCCCTTTACCTTTACCTTACCTACCCACTGGAATTGACAAGGGGATGTTCCTCCCACTTGCTGCTGGTCTAAACACACACACACACACACACACACACACACACACACACACACTTCAAGGGGAAATATATTTTTGTTTCCTAACTATGCTTTGAAGTGTGCTAGAAAACAAACAGGAAGCCAATGGCAGTCCTTTTTAGTGTTAAAATATGCTCCCTGCAAGCAGGTTGCCAAACTAAGTGATCTGGGCAGCCACATTATCTAAGCAGCCTGCTCTCTCTCTCTACTTGGAAGTTTCCTTTTCAGTGATCCTAGCCATGCTTCCCTCACTCAAAGCAGCCCATCCTTGAAAGGTTTACATGCAGAAGCTTCTCCAAGTACGTCTTCCCTGTGCATTTGTCTTCGCATTCTTGAAACGTGCCACCTTTGCTCTTGTAGGTTCACCCGGGAAGCAGCAAAAGACTGCTTAGTTTTGAAGCAACGTATACCTGCTGGTGCTATAATGGAATTTGCTGTTGGACACCTCCATTACAATCCAAAGATCTGGCCGGAACCTGAGAAGTTTATTCCCGAGAGGTATGTGGTCTGTTGAACATTCTCCCTTTGATGAGACCCAGTAAAATCAAACCTGGTTTCTTACACAGCCGATAATGGAAGGGCATTGATTTGTGAAAGAGAGACAGAAATAGCTCACTTGGTGGGCCTTGATTTCTCTGTTACTTCTTCTGTAGGACCAAGGATTATGGTGCCCTCTTACTTTTGCAGGCTTTGGCCAGGTTCACGTGAACAGTTATTTTAACCATAGTTTCTTATAGACCAGGCCCAGGTGTCAAATGCTGCCCTGCAGACCTCTCTCTGGCCCTTGAGATTCTCCCCAGGCCAGATCCCCACCAGCCTGGCTTCACACCCTTCTTGAGACTTGTGTCCTTGAATTCTGATCCAGACCCTTGCTGGCTTGGAGGGAGGATTGACAGGGGTGTTTATTAGTAGAACTTTACGTTCATTGATACACCCAGCTTAGCTTCTGGCTCTGCCCACCCCTAGCCTAATGCACTTTTACTCCCACCAAGATCTAGCCTACATGTTGCTGTTGGGTCACAGACACCCAGACAGTGGTGTCTGTAATGTAGCCAGCTGGGATAGCTCAATTGGTAGAGCACAAAGACTGTTAATTTCAAGGTGATGGGTTTGAGACCAATGCTGGGCCAAATATTCCTGCACTGCAGGAGGTTGGACTGGATGACCCAACTCTGCGGTTCTGTGAGTGCTGCTCTGCACTTTGCCATTAGGTACAGGATGGAAATGCTGGTGCAAATACTTTTTTTCACAGTACTACTTTCACCCTCGGTGGCTGCTGTATGGGGGTCCTGAATCAACCATCTCCTGTGCTATCCTAATTCTGTACATATTCCCATAGTACTTTTGGCCACCACACAATAGTTTCTCTTGGTACGCATGCTGTTGGGCTCCATCTTCCCCCAGCCCAGCATGGCCAACGGTTAGGGATGATGAGAGCTGTCATCCCACATCTGGAGGAGCAAAGCTGTTCCTTTCCCCTGCTGTAGACCTCTCGCTTTCTGTTGAAACTGGCAGGAGTGACGACATGGTGTCCTTTCCCCATTAGGTACAACTACCATTGTCTCCAGAACCTGCTAAACTGGGAAGATGCATGCATGAAAGGGGCATGGCTAGCTACTTAAGACTTCGGGAACAGGCCCCAATTTTGCACATGCTAATTTATATGTAGAGATGCAAATTTAAGCTGTTGGGGTGGGTTGCACTGTGGGTGGGCTGGTCTTGCTGCCCCACCTTTAATCTGTTGGCAAGAGGAGCTGCTTATGTGTTTATTAAAAATGAAGAACAAACGGGCAGATTAATGTGGCTGGGGTCTCACTGGCATTCCATTTTGCTTGCAAGATGATCAGGCACACTACAAAGTGAAAAAATACAGTTTTAAGGTTTTTGCTTTATTTTAATCTATTGGTTTTCTTGCCTCACAGGTTTACAGCAGAGGCCAAGCTGCAGCGTCCCCCACTTTCTTACCTCCCCTTTGGGGCTGGCCCTCGTGGATGCATTGGCACCCAGCTGGCTTTGATGGAAATAAAGGTGGCATTTCTGAGAATCTTGCAGAAGTTTGAGTTCAAAGCCTGCTCCAAGATAGAGGTTTGTAGCGATTCCTGGACCTATGTCTCTCTGCTCAGCGGAATATTATAGAGGGGAACTGTGTGTTGGAATTGGAGTTGTTTTTACAAAGGAGAAGTCTTTCTTTGTCTGCCTTCAGCACTGTTCTGCGGATCTCTACCCAATCTTTTAAAAGCAGATTTGGCACCCCCGTCTATGATCATAAGTGGAGTACTGCAGGATGGGACCAAAGATCTACCCAGTAGAGCATCCAGTTCCCCAGAGTACCCAACCAGACATCAATGGCAATCCAATGCGAAGCCCACAAATAGGAAATGAGCACATATTCACTGCATCTATATTCCACCTTTCCTCTAAAGAGGTCAAGGTAAAGGATTCTCCCCGCTGAATCCTCAACAACAACCCCATGAGTTAGGTAAGGCTGAGAGTGATTAGTCAAGGCCACCCAACGAGCTTCATAGCTGAATGGGGGATTTGAACCTTGGTATCCCAGCCCAGCGCTGTAACTCCCTACTGTAACCTTCATACTTTCTACACTCATGGAACTTATTTCAGCATTGACACTTGGGAATGAGGAACCTCTGCAAAGCTACCATTAACCCATTGCATATAGCTGGAGATATATGACTTATAGGGTGTGCCCATCAGTTCACAGCAGGAAGCTGGCCAGGTCTAGCGTAAGGTTCCCAGACATCCCCGTTTCCTGGGGACAGTCCCCTGACAAAATCCATTGAAGTTTAAAAGTGTCTCCAGATTCATTGAAAAAAATCTGGTAACCTTAGTCTAGCTTCCCCTGCCATCTCCACACATTAACTGAGAGTAGACACTCAAACACACCCAACACAAATCCAGCAGAAGAATGTTACAAAGGAAGATTGGTTCTGCCCAGTGCTCCCCCCCCCCAAAAAAATAGGTGCCGGTAACTCACCATGAAGTTGAAATATATAAAAACATTGTCCAGTAGCACCTTAGAGACCAACTAAGTTTGTTCTTGGTATAAGCTTTCGTGTGCATACACACTTCTTCAGAAGCTTATACTAAGAACAAACTTAGTTGGTCTCTAAGGTGCTACTGGACAATTTTTTTATATATTTCGACTGCGTCAGACCAACACGGTTACCTACCTAAATCTCACCATGAAGTTGTTACAGTGCCACACCTCTCAACAACAACAAGTACCCCTTGTGGGGGAAAGCACTGGTTCTGCCATTTCTGGTCTTCTGATTGGGAAAACCCTGAGATGGTTTCAAGGAACGCAGGCTCTCCTTCTGCAGCGGCTTCATGACTACGATTCTAGCCCCTTCAGAGCTCACACAAGTATTTTGCTGGATGGGAAGGGTGGGAACCTTGCTTCCCTACATTCATCTAAGGCAGGTATAAGGAACATTTAGCCCTCCAGATGCTGCAAAACTACAGCTTCCATCAGCCCCAACAAACATGACCCATGTCTGGGGTGGTGAGAGGTGTAGCTCAGCAACATCTGGAGGGCCAAGATGTTCCTCACACCTGTTCTAAGGAGACCTGTCTGGCATTTACTGAGCAGTGGCTTAGGGGAAGTGTACCTCTTAACTTGCTTTTTGTGTTCCGTTTCTGCACCCAATCCAGATTCCTTTGAAGGTGAAATCTCACATGACACTCGGACCACAAAATGGAGTCTACATCAAGGTGGTTCCTCGATAGAGCAAAACGGCCAGCAATCTCGATGTGCCTTCTAAGGAGATGCCAGCTTGCTGTGTGATGTATGACTGCTGCAAACTATGTGCTGGAAGAGCCTTCCCCCTTTTACCTTCCTTGAAAATAACAGGTGCCTATTTGATTCTGCCATATCTTAGCTGGGCCAGAAAAGATTTGTAAGACAGCCTTGTATTTAAGAACTCGCTGAAAAGCCATAGCCAACCAGGAATTCCATGTGGGCAAGTGAACTGAGGGAGAGGGTGATTTGCCCTCCTTACACCAGCCCATTTGGTAAAAGGCACTGTAAAAAACTAGGCTGCTAAGAGGCTGGTATCCTCCATTTCGGTGTTGGGTGCAGAGCAGGCTAACTTTATCAAAATTGCAGGTTACTACTTTTTTGGGGGGGGGGGGTTGCCTTAAGAACTAATGGCAAAGTTCGGAATACAGGTAGGCTAATGAGCTAACACTCCCTTCCAAACCCTGCCACGGAAAGCCAGTCCATACACGCAACAAAACAGAAGAAGCAGTGCAAGAGATCTGCAATTCTTGCTCCACTTCTGCTGCAACATGGATGTGGATGCTCAAGATCCACTTAGCTTCCGTGATGACTTGTGCTATTCTTCGAGTGTAAATAACTATTGACTTGTGCTGGCATGTTGATCAGGCAACTTCTCCTAATGGTTGTCTACAAGCAACAGCAAAATCAGTTTCCTTTGTCCTCAGCTGGTGATGATAATGCGCAGGTTCGATCCCCGTAAGGAACAGCTGCATATTCCTGCATTGCAGCCGTTTGGACTAAGCGATCCTCAGGGTCCCTTCCAACTCTGCGATTCCATTACATAATTAGCAGTTTGTGATCTTTAAAAAGGAAAACTTCCTTACATTTTCTTAGAAGAGAAGTTCTATGACAATTACAAGAAATCTTAGGGATGCCAAATTGCCCTATCCAGACCAATTCCTGCAATTCTACAGGGGAATCTCAGGACAAAAAGAGAAGCAAATTTTCTGATGGGAGGTCAGAAAGCAACGTAACATGCGATGCAGAAGGCCAACTTCTGCAGAAAGGGCCTTGGGATGTAATCATAACCCCACTTACTAGGAGCAAGTGCCATTGAATTCAATACTGTTGGGGAAATATCGCAGTTAAAACCCAATACTTTGGGTGCTGCCTGGAACGGCCAATAGAATCCAGACATCAATTACCAGTAAAACAGGGGGGAAATTTAGGTTTTACATGGCCAGTACCACCTTAACCAGCAAGTACTATGGAGTGGTACACCAAATATGAAAACAGCACAAACATTTATACACTTACAAGCAGAAGGGCAGTTATGACCATATCTGACGCTTGTACTGGTTTAATCATGAGGCACAACAACGTTATCTTTCTCTCCTGCCTTTGTACTTAACAGTTATAGCAATAGTTCCTGCATACATGTTGTTCTGTTCTTCTCTCATGGTTTTCTTGCAAGCACAATCTTCACAATCCAACCAAGCCCTTCTCTCACACAATTCAGTTTTCGTTGTATAATCACAGAATCAGAGTTGGAAGGGACCGCAAGGGTCATCCAGTCCAGCCCCCTGCAATGCAGGAATCTCTTTCATGCACTACCAACTGAGCTATCCCCAAAATCAATAGTTTCTCCAACAATAGGATGTGTACATCTGAGTAGACATGGGTAGCCATAGCAAGAACAGAGGATATTTTCCAACTAGAACTGTTTTACCTCTAGGTGTCAAAATAAGAGAAGAATTTTACCCCTGAAGATGATGTTTTCCTTTGGACCACATCAGCGAGGCCAAGGGCACAGGACCTCCACACACGCTGCCCGGGCTTGTGCCCCAGGGAAGTCACTTTAGTGCTGCTAACACAGCTGTTTGACTTCACCCTTGGAGACACACTCCATTGCCTCACGAGACAGACGGGTGCCAACAATCAGGCAGATTGCACGTCACTGACACATTTTCATTTTTGAGATGTACTCTGAAAAACTTTTGGTTTTCCAAAACAGGCCAGAGTTTGAACTTGGTTGTGTGCATGTAAATAAATAAATAAGCAGAACTGGCACCCACCCTATGCTACACTGACAGTATTTTATATACTTTGGCCTCAAATTTAAGTGCTATCCTGGAGCTAACCAGACCAAGGAACAAGGTGGAAAAATTTGTTCTGTTTATCCAAGTAAATTCTTTGTGCAGACATCCTAGGTGAGTGTCTGCAGCACAGGTATGCAAAGGTATGCAATTGATTATAGCTATTTTGAGAAAATAGTTACAAATCCACATTGGTCCCGAGTAGCAGAAAATCTATAGCAGGCATGTCCAAAGTCCGTTTTGGGGGCCCAATCCGGCCTGCCGGTCAGTTTAATCTGGCCATTGTGGCAGTTTATTAACTTCAACAACTTCAATCCTAAGAAAAGTTCAACAACTTTGGGGTAAAATAATAAAAAAAACCCTCAACAACTTCAATCCTAAAAAAAGGTTAACAACTTTGGTTGGCCCTTCGGTCGGCCCTTCACTTCATCAAATCTGGCCCTCTTTGAAAAAAGTTTGGACACCACTGATCTACAGCTTCTTACTGTTTTCTATAATAGGAGTGGAATGGTTTGTTAGGTTTGGTTTCCCTAGGAGTGAAAAGGTTACTTTACAAATGAGTAGCAACTGCAAAACTGCAGCCATTTTATACCACAAGAAAAACCCCAAAGTAACCTTTCCCCCTCCTTTTGGAAAGCAGAAAATTTATGTTCTGTTATCTTGAGAGATATCAAGTAAATTGGGCTACTGTTGAAAAATACTTAAGGGGGCAAGTTGTATTACAATGCAGTCCTGTCTGCACAAAAGTAAGGCCTAGTCGTTTCAGTGGCCTTCGACCAGAGAATACAGGAACTTAAATGGGGTATTTTAAAACCAACCCATCGAAAGTACAGTTTTATGAGGATATCCTCCAGTTCCCAAAGTCAGTCTTGACAAATGCAGTTTAACTGTCTAATCTTACCAAACAATGGAGGCATTTTGTGAATGTTAACTGGCTGCAGAAATAGTCTATGATTTAGAGCACATTCATTAACCTTTTCAGTTAATGGGCTGTCCCACAAATTGTGTTAGAAAACGTACAAAGCTGCCTCACACAAAGTCAGACCAGAGGTCCAAGTATTATAAGATTATGTGTGTACTCTGGCTAGCAGCAACTCTCCACTGTTCCAGGCAGGAGCCTGTCACAGCTGAGATGCCAGGGACTCAACCTAATGCACTACATCACTAAGCTATGGCTCTTCCTCAGTAGAAGGCAACTTTTAAAAACTGAAAATATTGAGAGTGGTTAACCAGTTAAAACTGCAACCCCCCCCCCAATACTTTCACTCAGAAGTGGCACCTGCATCAATCAACTTGAACTTACCTTCCAAGTAAATCAAGATTTAGTTCACTTCCTAGTGAAAAGCAAAAGAAATCAACAAATAAGTCTCTGAAATACATACTCACAGTGCTTGCGGTATACTACAGGAGTGACATAACAGAAGTGGACTTTTGCTTGTGGAACAGGAAATTCCTCTCTCCACCTTCCATTGTGCTGTGGGGCATTTACCCTGGGGGTGGGCATTTAGGCCTGCAGGCCAGGAAGGGGAACTGCTTTTGCCCAAGTCCATTCTGCTGCCAGATAGGCATGACTATATATTATTCTAGGATTATATTCTCCATTGCCAGTTACTGAACTGACATATGCCGGTAATGGTAGCGCCTTCTTCCCAAGAACCTAAATTCACAAGAATAGTGCAGTTAGATGTGCTGCAATATGCTGAGGTATGGGGGGCACTCGTGAACAACATAACACAACTGGAGCTTTACATAACACCAGATGTATAACTTAAAAAGCAGGGCGCAATTTTCCTTTTGAGTGCTGGAACTAGAATCTGCCCCTCATTAAAGAATCTCAGGGCCAAAATGGACACGACTTGTGCAGCCAGATTTGCTTAATCTTTTAAAATTATTATTAGTAATACAGCGGTGTGCGCGCCTCAACTATTAACAATGAAACAGGTACATAAGTGAGGGGAGCAGAGACCTCAAAAATAAACTCCACTATTCCATTGCTTCACGCTTTTTTCTCCCAAGGCTGTCTCACTTCTGGGATCAGAGCCAACTATGAAGGATGGGTGCGGGGAGGTAATTCTGTTAACCAAGGAGACAAAACAGGTGAAGCTTGCATCATCTGCATACCCCTTTTTGATATTTGCATCAGGCATCTCCTCCTAGCCCTCTTCTGATGCCTGAACTAGACAGACATATATGATTAAAGATCTATGGCTCAGCTCCCACTTGCTCAGCCACAAGGTAGTTGGCAACGAGAAAGTCAACACATCACATTAATTTGTTCATTGGATAATTACAGCATGCGCAGTAAGCACTATAGACATGACAAATGGCAACACAACTCCTGAAAGCTCAAAGTGTTATCAAGTTTCAGGGTGGCAGAACTCTACTATGAAACTTCCACATTAAGATCTCAGGGAGGAGAAGGGGGCCAAAATATAGATGTTTTTGGGATGTGTGTTGTTTTGGCTGAAGTTTGGTCCATACAAGATGCTTTTCACATGGATTTGTGGCTAATTGCCAGAAAGAAAAGCAGACAACCTGTTGCTGTGACAGAGTGATTATTTTAGTTGCTATGATTATTACAATGAAGCACCTTCAAGGAATTCTTTTGTCTCTGCTTTAAACTGCACATTTAAAAATAATCGGGGAAAGGAACTGTGCTTCTTTCTTCATAGATGACTATAACAATACTTTTCTGAGTAAACAAGCATTTAAACTGCTATTATTGATTACTAAATGTGAAGCATTTGTATATTTGCTTTTACCGTCTAATTGACAATTTTTTACATTTACAAAATAAAGGTATTTTGAAAGAGTTCGTATATACTTATCGTTTTCCCTGTGTTTCTTTGTGGTGCTATTTTATCCTATGACAGAGGTAGCCCATCTTCATCACAACTCTCCCCAAACTCGCATGGATATCTTTTTATTGTAGCCCTACAGAGCACCTCTGACCGATGGCAGTACTTTCTCCTACTGGAAACATCTTCCGTGGTCCCAATCCAACTCTAGCAGCATAAAGTTATATGTAATTAGTTGCACCAGAATGAACATCCAAGTGAAAACAATTAAGTATGAATGGGTCACCTTTACATTAGGATGTCCATCTACTGTACTCCCAACACCCACTAATCCAGAGATATCAACATGCCAAAAGCAGCTTCTGTATACGGCTCTCTAGGAGCATGTATATCATTCTCCCTTTCTAGGCAAGCCCCTAGTTTCTAGGCAAGCCCCTAGTTTCTCTAGTCCCCCAAAATAACATCTTTTCAAGAAAAGTTATTTACTGGATTGCCCATAAACTAATGGCTTCCATACTTTATCCTGGTTAATGCCAACCAACCACCTCTCTTTGCTACTCCTCTTTCTTCAAATATTATTTTCTCTCTACAGCCCTAGTTGCAACAATGTAATTCACATCCTGTATGCAGCATATCTATTGATGCCAAATGAACATTAAGTGGTGTTGTCCTGCTGTTGGGCAACTTACGGAACACAGAAACAGAGATCTTAAAAAGCAAAAACAGCACCACAGACTCAGGAGCCTTTCTAACTCCAGTCGTTTTAATTCACTTAAAAGACAGATGCATTGAGAGAAAAGGATCGATGCAAATGATACCAGACAGTATCCACTCGAATCTCACAATATTGAAATGCTTTCAACTAGAGTTTCAACAGTGTCTTGAGGAACTCAACGCAAGACCAGCAAAACACATTCACTGCTTAAAAACTGAGCCGTTTAAAAAACCAATCCCAGTATTAATCAGTTATTCAACCAGTTAAGCCCCTCAATGGGCTTAAGTTAAATGATGCATCCAGCCAACTCTATCCACCAAGCTATACCAGCTAAACTTCAGGAGTGGGTTGGGAAAGGGCAGGATTTCAGAGGAACAGCCAGGAGTTTGTAGTGATCTCCCGATTGTTCCTTAGCTTCCGCATGCCCAAACTATTGCAGCCAGATTAAAGCCACCTTTGTTGATATAGCACATGTATATATGCAATGGCGAGTTTCCAAAACTTTTCCAATACTGATTTCCCCAGGTTGCTTATGATGAAGGCTGTCATGCAGATAAACTAAGGGGGCACTGTTTCAGGAAAGGGAAATCCTAGTGAGCCCATTTTGTTATAGCATGGAGTTGGAAGGGTCATCTAGTCCAACCCCCTGCAATGCAGGAATCTCAGTTAAAGTACCCATGACAGATGGCCATCCAATCTCTGCTTAAAAGCCTCCAAGGAAGGAGAAACTACAATGTCCCAAGGGAGAACTGGAATCAACACTGCTAAAATAAAAGGGCAGAAAAGTCACAGGAGAGTAAGCTGCGGCATTTGGCTTGCTGATGGTAAACAGCAGTCGTTGCCTAGAGTCATAAAGTATTACTGACCCAAGCCACACAAAATATTCCACTGTTGGGAATGAAAATAAATGACACTCACAAGCTGCACTAATGATATCAAGCTTCAAGGTGCATCCTGCAGGGGGCGGGCAGGTAGAAATGGAGGCAGTGGTCTCTGGACTGCGTAGCAAGTCATTACACAACCATTTCAAGAGGTTTCACATAAGACCTGTTGCACTTCACTAACATAGGTAAAGGGACCCCTGGTCGTTAGATCAAGTCGCGGGTGACTCTGGGGTTGCGGCGCTCATCTCGCTTTAATGGCCGAGGGAGCCGGCGTACAGCTTCCGGGTCATGTGGCCAGCATGACTAAGCCGCTTCTGGCGAACCAGAGCAGCGCACGGAAATGGCGTTTACCTTCCCGCTGGAGTGGTACCTATTTATCTACTTGCACTGGCGTGCTTTTGAACTGCTAGGTTGGCAGGAGCTGGGACCGAGCAACGGGAGCTCACCCCGTCGCGGGGATTTGAACCACCGACCTTCTGATCGGCAAGCTCAAGAGGCTCAGTGGTTTAACCCACAGCGCCACCCCCTCCCTCTCACTAACATAGTCTTAGTCAATTAAAGCTTGTATGATTAATCAATCAAATCTTATGCTCACAAATAAAATAATAGCCGTGGTGAAGGAAGAATTGCTTTGAGACCATCTCAAAGAAGTCATTCCCTCCTGTGAAAGAGAAAGTAGGTCTTTTCTAACGAGGTGCTTACCACCCACAGATGTGTCAGGAACTTACATTAAAACAATTATGGTTTGGTGTTTGTTTGTTTTTTTTTAAAAAAAGGCTGCCCAAATTAACCAGGCACACTTTTTAAAATATCTGTATCTCAATAAGTAAAACACCACATTCCCAATATAAAATGTCTGCTGAAAGCAGCCCGCAAGACAGATGTTATACGCTCCAAAGTAAAGCTCCTACTAATTTCTGTATTCTATGAGGTATTCGGGATAGATCTGGTGCTTCTCAAAAATGACAAAGATGGATGGATTCTGGGTGCTATTCACACAACTGTCATAGAAGACTGAGTTCTGGCTGTCTTTGGCAGGAGGGCGGAGGTAGGAATACACGCCATTTGTAAACTCCCCAACCAACACTCTGGCCAGAAACATGGTCTTGACAGAAGAATTGCTTTTGGTGTAGTTATCAGAATATGAAGCATCTCTTGCAAAGTAACTTCCTGTAAAGGGGAGAGGGAGTGGAAAGAGACAAAAAAGAAGCAGCGCAGAGTAAGGCTACTGACTATTAGTTCAAGGTGGTACAGCAGATGTAACATTAGCAAATCCAATAGAAGCTTTACTGTAAGGCCAGAAAGTAGAATGTTCTTCCATCAGCTGCCCATCTAGGCTGCTCACTGTCCTGCCTCTAAGGCTGCAATCTAAAACATGCTTCCTTAGAAGTCTCACCGTTCTTTGCAAACCACCCTTTCCCACCCTTAAATTATAAACAATCCATTTGGATTTCCAAGATAACATCTGGACAAAACAAATGCCTTCAGAAACAGAGGAAGCATGGCAACTTCAGGCCATGGTTTATGCAGATAACACTTTTCCTTCTGCACAATAGTTTTAACGGAATGAAGTTACCTTTGCCATAGGCTGTGCCGTGGACGCCGCAGATCCTCCAGTCAAAGTTCTGCTGGCAGATAGCATCAATGTGGTCTTTTTTGGTCCCGTGAAATAACTGTCTTTCATCCACATCCTTTCCCCCATTTGCCTTCTTCATTTGTTCTTTCTGCCTACAAAGAAGCAAATATCTCAAAGTTCCCTAATGCAGAAACACCCAGGATCTGACAAGAGAGAGCACTGCTTTAGCATAAGCTTCATCCACCCAGGGCTCAAGATTTGCCAATGCAGCCCTGCTTCAGATAGCACCAATGATGCATCTTTTCTGTAGTGCCCCCATCTGTTCAGAATTCCATCTTCTCAGTGAATGAAAACTTGTATTTTCTACTTTGTGTCTTCAGCAGTTAAGATTAAGAAAGGTATTTTGTTCTGATGTTTTGCTCTGTCTTGCTTTTTTGCCTACTGGCCCTTAGATTTTACACATTATTTATTATTATGATTATGATTATTTATTGCAAACCACTATGGAAGCCTTTGTAGATCCAAGCAGTCTATACATACAGTAAGGCTGCAACCCTGGTACCACTAACTTCATTCAACAGGAATAAGCCCCACTGAATTCAATAGGACTTACTTCTGAGTATGGATGGTTGGGACTGCACTGTAAATAAGCAAGTAAATCACACATTTCTTAAATCATCATCAGGTGTTTTGGTGAAAGAGGCTAAACATTCATAACTAATACAGGAGCTTTGTATAAGGCTGCCTGTTCCCTTCCAACTGCCCAACCCAGCCACACTAATGTGATTTTACACAATTCAACAGTGTTTTGAGCTCAGATCCAATAACTAAATGCATGCATGGTGCCTGTCAGAAGTTGTTTTCGAGTATCTTAAGATCACCTTCTTCCACCTCAAGTCTAAAGGGATGTGCTTGGATTAAGAAATAATCAAGAGAGCAACTCTCCTGTATTCTGACATGGCGCCAGATAGCATTATAGATGTCGCCAATCAGCATATGTAGAAAACATGGTGGCCACTTATGAGAGGCACATATATATTCCTCTAACAATGTGAACCCAGTTCCAAAACTGAGAAGCAGTCACTTGGAGCAGATTACCAAAACTGGTTTCGTATACAGAGCAAACAAGACAAAACTCTGAGGAAAAGAAACAGAAACATAATTTACTGCTTTCAGTTTTGCTTCCTGTTTCAAATACAGCAAAAGAAACAGAACTGAAATCTACACACAAACAAGTCAGGGTCTTTGTGGAGCAAAAGCACAGGCACAAACCTTGTACCGTGGTGGCGAAAAAGCCTCCCAACTTCCAAAAAGTACCATGGCCTAGTTCAAAGCTTCTGATGGGAAGTTCTGTGCAAAATCGACCACCTGGATACTTGCACACCTGAAGTATCTCAGAGACCTCCGAGGGGGCTGGTTGGATATGTGTATGTTTTCCCCAAGGGGGAAACAAAAAGGAAGGAGGCTAGATGGGGAAACGGCAAGGAAAAAGACTTGGAACTGCCCCCATCCCTGCCCTCCTCAACACCATGGTCCTGGATCTATCCGAAGCTTAAAGGTAAAGGGACCCCTGACCATTAAGTCCAGTTGTGACCGACTCTGGGGTTGCGGTGCTCATCTCGCTTTATTGGCCAAGGAAGCCGGCGTACAGCTTCTGGGTCATGTGGCCAGCATGACTAAGCCACTTCTGGTGAACCAGAGCAGCGCACGGAAACGCCGTTTACCTTCCCGCTGGAGTGGTACCTATTTATCTACTTGCACTTTGATGTGCTTTCGAACTGCTAGGTTGGCAGGAGCAGGGACTGAGAAACGGGAGCTCACCCCGTTGTGGGGATTCGAACCGCCGACCTTCTGATTGGCAAGTCCTAGGCTCTGTGGTTTAACCCACAGCGCCACCCGCGTCCCACCCCAAGCTTAAGACGCTTGCAATAAATTTAGGTATGGCTGTCCTATTACCTTCTTACTTGGCCCAAACACCAAAATATCCCTGCATTGCAGGAGGTTGGACTAGGTGGCCCTCGTGGTCCCTTCCAACTCCACAGTTCTCTGATTCTATGAACACTGCCTGAGTATTTAAACACTGAGGAACACAACAGGACTTCAATCCAGCACTCAGGAATGTTTTCGGACCTCTGCTACGCAGAAGTAAATCTGGGCTTTGGAAAAGTAAAGAGAAACCCAGTTACGTAACACCAGAGCAATGAATTTGCACTTACCACCGATATACTTCCCACAGAGCCAAATTCTGGATTCTTTTGACGCTCATAATCAATGCATTTGGCATCGTGCGCTGAAAATTAACCTGGACATTTCTGTGCTCCTTGGAAGATGGGAGAAGGGTGATCAGCTACAAGGCAAAAGGTACAAAGATGCTTCATGGAAACGGCAGCAAGAGTATCCCATGCAACAAAGGTAATTCCAAATGTGCATAAAGAAGATTTGGAGTAGCAGGCCAGAGGTGCGGGGCCCCTCAATATTGATGGCAGGGGGAGAAGGAGAGATAGGTTTTTGACCAGACACTTAAAGGACAATATCTTGGATCATCCTCATCTCTGGGGAAAAGTATAAGAATACTGATGCTGAAACGTTCTTAAAATATGACCTATTTTGATATTCTTTAATCTTCATCTGTTGGTTCAGGAGTATAGAAGGTATCAGGCTTGAGAGATGTGCTCCTTGTAAACACAGTTGTTCAGCAACAGGATGTTACTAGATATGGAACACAGATATAAACCCTGCTATTGCACAGTAGGCTTTTAGCTACCTTTCTGAATGACAAGGCACAGAGTTCTCATCTACACTCACCCTAATTCTTTGGTGCAGTGGCTTCCTGAATGGGAGAAGTCAGGGAACCCTTATCAAGTCAGGGAGCCCTTCAAAGACAGTATTTAATGCAGTATCCTCACACACCCCTTGCATCTCCACAAACCATTTGGCTAATGCATCTCGTCTTTCTCCTGACTTTTGGGAGACTAGCAAAACATTTATATTCTTTGAAGGGGTAAATAACTGCTAACATTGCTCCCCAATGTTCCATTTTACTGGTTTTGTTCTTGCATTTTATTAGATAGGTTAGATATCACTTTATGGAAGCCATGAGGGATGGAAAGGAAAGCTACGAAGGAGGGAAATAGATAATAATGCACATCTCTCATCCTATCACCTTGCCAAAACACAAATTATGGTTCTGCAATAATCAGACTAAACTAATCTGAAAAGATGTGAGTAAAAGCGAATAGTTCTGGAGCGTAGAATCTGCCAAGGAGAGTGCTAAAGCTGCCCTTTCCCTTTGGCAGAAGCTAATCATCATCTTGTACAGTGCCTGCACACAATGTCAGTAGGGAAGATGTCATATTGGGTATTGAGGCATTACAGGGACAGCCTGACCCCACACACTTCAGAGTACCCTACCTTATATCCAAGTTCTGGCAAGGCTGACTGGTCCCAGTGAGCTGGAATGTGCGCATTGTCTCCTGTCGACTGCTTGGCCCCACTTTGCAATGGGAAGAGATCAAGCAATTAAGCATTAATGCTTACATATAATATTAAGCTGCCGGGGGAACATACACCTGCTGAATATGTGGCAAAATGAACACATTCAAGTTTTGAATATCGTCTTAAAATAAAGCGTAAAGACACCAATTAAATTAAGGAGGAATTAAAGCTCCTGTTCAGCAAAACACCCGTGCCAGAATCATAACCTCTCCGTCTACAGTACTAAACAGGAGGTTAAAACCCTGATCAGCAACTCAAGTTTCCTAGGAAGTCGGTTTGAAAAGCAAGTGATGAGAGCTGGGCCAGCCCTAAACACACATTCCTGCCGTGGATCCAAAGTTCTCCACACCTCTTTTCCTTCCAGAATCCTTTATTTATGTTTATATTCCGCCTTTCCTCAAAGGAGCTCAATGTAGCTTACAGAGTTCCCCTCCTCCCCATTTTACGCTCACAGCAACCCTGTGAATTAGGGTAGGCTGAGAGTGAGTGACGGGCCCAAGGTCACTCAGTGAGCATCGTTGCTGTGTAGGGATTTGAACCCTGGTCTCGCAGATCCTAGCCCGACACGACACTGGCTCACTTTAGAGGACAGGCTCTCCCCCAGGGGCCTCCAGTTGCAGACCTCTCACTTAAAATAAAGGTTCACAACAGGAAAAAACAAACCTAGAAGACAAAACACTGAAATTGGCTGGTCCCCTCAACTATTGCAAAACGCTCTTTAGGTGTTTTAGGATTTCCTTTAATTCAAAGGTTCTGTCCCAGTGCACTTTGTTCTCTATTGTTGAATTCAAAACTCTGGAACACCCACAGTGTTATTACAGGTTGTGGAGACAATGGGAAAGGCAGACAGCAAGCATTAAATGCTTCCTTCTTTCCTGAAATCCTCACTGATGTCCTTTGTAGTGCATAATCTCTATACAGTGGTGCCTCACAAGACGAAAAGAATCCATTCTGTGAGTCTCTTCGTCTAGCGGTTTTTTCATCTTGCGAAGCAAGCCCATTGACGGATTAGCGGATTAGCGGCTTTTAGCGGCTTATCATCTTATCGGATAAGCAGATAAGCGGCTTAGCGGCTTAGAAAAAGGGGGGGGAAGGGGGAAAAAACCGCAGGAACTCGCAAGACATTTTCGTCTTGCGAAGCAAGCCCATAGGAGCTTCGTTTTGCGAAGCACCTCCAAAACGGAAAACTCTTTCGTCTAGCGAGTTTTCCGTCTTGCGAGGCATTCGTCTTGCGGGGCACCACTGTACAGTACAGACTTTGGTCACCAACCTTTTCTTCTTCTTCTCTACTTCCTTTACAGACACAAACTTCGGTCGTCTTCGAACACTTCGTTCTGTCAGGTAACGCAGGTTTTTCTGTTTCATGGCTGGGGAGGAGGGGGAAGCCACAGAAATATTTAACAGTGCTTACATAGAGAATAACATTTATTCCATTTGAAAACATATTCTGCTGCCAAAGTCATTTATACCCCCTCTTAAAAGAGATCTGAATACCACTGGTTCCGATTTATAACTTAAAACCGAGAAGAGCCAGAAAACCTCTAAAGAACATTCCTTCCTTCAAAATCTTTTAGAATATAATCTGCAGGAAACTTCATCTCTGGCTGATGAAGCAGAGGTGAAACCAATTAATATGGGGCAAAATGGAAAGAAGGCCTATTTGGCTTCTGAAGGTGATGCTCTACTCCTGATTTATAAGGTAGATCTCCATGCAAGGTCCATTCTATACCTGTATCACAGAAGCCATCTAAGCACCTAGAAAAGACCACTGCCGTCTCATAAACACAACAAAAAACCCTCTGCTCAACAGGAGGGATTATTCTATCTTGGCTTAACAAAATATGAATTACTCTTCTGGCTATGCATGCAGCCCCTTCTCCTCTCTCTTTGAAATGAACCAAGGAACAACTGACTATAGTCCAAACCAGGAAACGATGGTTACCAATTTCAGAACAAGAAAGGATATCAAGCCATGGCTTGGAAGAAGTCCACCTGATTTTGTTTGCTCACCTAAGTAAAGGGCTGCATGCAGAGACACAAGGCTCATTCATTCATACCTTGGCTTACTAGGCAGAAATATGTTCATCTGAATGTGGCCATTGTGTGACCTTAGTTCAATGGTAGAGCATGTGCTTTGCATGCAGAAGGTTCCAGCAGCTACAGTAAAAAAAAAGGTACTAGATAGCATGGCTAGGAAGGACCTCTGTTATGGAGAGCTTTTTAAGTATACATTACCAGGCTAGAGGGATCAATGGTCTAGCTCAGTATACAGCAGCACCATGTGGACTTCTGGTGCAGGGGTGGAAAACCTGATTGAACCAGTGGGCCTGATCGAATCCTTATCTCCCCTAACTCCCATGGGCCAAATGACAAGAGGTCACACACCTGTCAATCACCTGATGTCACAATGACATCATGCAATGTTTCATGGGATTTGGGACTTGCAAAGAGCCCTGTGCAGGGCTGATCAGCAGACTTGGAAGTCAACACCTATCAACTAATGGGTGGTGATTTCAAGCCGGTTTTCTTCATGGGTAGAGCTTCCCCCAGCAGCAGGGAAGAGAATTCTGTCGAAATCAGGGTTTAAAGAAAGGGTTTGGAATGCACTTCAAAGCCTTCCAAAGAACTAGACATCTGCATGGATACGATGCATGACGTGGATCCAGCTGTGTCTCTACCTACTGCACACCTGACATCACATTTGACAGGTGTGTAGGAGTGCAAATATCCAGAGTGTGGGCTCAGGCGGGATTACTATGAGGAATTATAAAATATGCATCAAGCCATTGTGTCCACGATGAATGCATTGTGTTGACTGGGTTTAATTCATTGACAATAATTTCTGATCAAATCCCACAACCCTGTGCATCTCTGGCCATTTTCTCTACTGCCCATTTCTCTTTCTTGACAAGTCACGTATGCTTCGCCAGGCAGGCGTCCTGGGCCATAAAGATAGTGGGCAAGTTTCTTTGATGTAGCTTTTCTGATATGTTAATCTTAGGGCCAGGAAACAAATCTCACCTGAAGGTGATAATGATCGCTGTCTTCCTGGCCATCCTTCTTATCATGTATATTGCTTGTTTATCACCTCCAGGGTTGCCAAATGCAATCCTTTGTAGTTCTCTTTTGTTTACCCCAAAAGTATGTGTGCTTAATTAGTTTTGGTACTTTAACTTTGTCCCCATGTGGGGTTTGTTGAAATGCTCAGAAGAAATCTGATTGGTTCTTACGAACACTCTGTAAAAAGTTCTTTTGTGAATAAAACGACCTGGGCGTGGACAGAGACTATTATACCCACCTTTCCCAGAGTCTTGCTGGTTCAAGCCTCTGTGTGTCTTCTTATTAATCAGAGTTCAATCCTTCCTTTACTTTGAAAACGCCTCACAGGTGGGCAAAACTGGCACCCATGCCGAGCCAAATCTGGCCCACAAAGTGTTCCTTTCCCCTGTTCCAGCAGATTGTATTTAAGAACACCTCAGTTGATTCAATGAGACCTACCTTTGAAATCAAGCTCGTATTTGTGTTTTCCAGCTGAAAACGTGAGTGTTGGAGACGCTTCAGACTGATAGGCTTTTTCCAAGTCAAAGCAGGACACTGTGGCGGCAGAGTGATCAACATCCTAGCAGCAGAGAAGAAATCACATCCCTTTTTAAAAATAGATAGCCAAGAACTTTCTTTGAGGAAACCTTACAATCTACAGGGGTCTACAGCGTGAGATATACTGGACTGTACAAAAAAATATTCGCCCTTTATAAGCAAGCATGCATGGGATGGATTTGCAACAATTGCTCAGAACATTAGAGAGGCAAGGAATGACTAGAAAGCAAGACAGTGTTTCTCCATTAAGTGGAATAGATTTTCAAAGTTCGGCAAAATCAGGTAGTCAAAAGGCACAAACTCCACAGTCAGTTGTTATTTAAAAGCCCAAGAAACTAAAAGGATCTTCAATTAGCACCAAAAAGACAGCAAAGGCAGAACCAGGTGAGCCTCCTTGGGGAAAACCTTCTGTAACAGTGGCAACACCAGCAAGAAGGCTCTTGGTTATTTTTGTTTAGTACCATTCTTGCTTTTTTTGTTGTTGCACTTTGTTTTTAAAATGCTTCCTATTTTGTTTTGGGAACAGCAATACTGAAGGACTGGGCAGAAATGTTCCAAATAAATAAATCTGACCCACAGGTGTGGTCTTAAACAGAGTTCTGATCTACTTCAAGGAAGACTACGCAGAAAAATGTTCCAGCAGGTTGTGAAGCAAGACAATTGCTGAGAGAGGGATGCCAACTAGATTTCAAGCTCGTCTATCTGCACCAGTTTACAATGCTCAAAAAGAGTCACCACAATATGACTTGCTTCAGCGCAGCATGATCCCATGTTACTTACTTCCTTTCCATATTCATTCCACACCCCATACTCATCCTTCCAATACCAGATCCAATCAGTTGTGAGAATATAGTGAGGCGCCATGGTCACAGAAGATGCAGTGGAGAGCCGTCTAATTTTGGCAGTGCCACAAGTCATACTGGAGAAAACGATGTCTGCAGCGCTGTTGTAGACAATTCTGTGCACAATTGGGTTTTGAGCGGGGGTTTAGAGTGCACTTGAAAGATTTACAAAGAACTAAATATTCTTTACTACTAATAATGTCGAGATCTGCTACTTTCTACAAGCCAGCATGATTTTTTTTTTTATTCCACCCTTAACCAAGAGTAATTCCATTGTTAAAAGCATTTAAAGCAGTGGCGCTGTGCTACAAATTCTCCCTTTTTCATGATGAAGTTTCCAGGAGGCTGGTGTGCTTCTCCCCAAAACTCCCTGAAGCTTAGATTGTTTTTCACAGATGCACTGCCCCAGTTGGCTACTACTGCAGCACTCTTGCTTTTTTTCCCCTCCCCAGACTAGCTTTCTTCCTAACAATAGTGACTAGTCAATTTTGACTAGCTCCATGAAGTTCTGTAATGATGTTGCCGTGAAAATCCTGGGAACGGTAATTTGTTAAGGGTGCTGGGACTTGTAGCTCTGTGCAGATGAATATACAGTTATTAGGATTCTTCGGGGGAAGGCATGTGCTTCAGATGTGTGTTGAACGTGTTTTAAATGTACTGTGTGGATCTGCCCTCACTTTCAATGGGATATTATTCACGGTTAAAGTCAGATCATATCCCAAGTCTTAAAAAAGCATGCAGATGCCGCAACTGCAAGTCCCATTCTGCCATCTTGAGACCTAGAACCCTCCCTTTCAACCTCAAAATGGGGGGAGGGGGGGAAACTTCCATGAATCTAAGATGACATCTAAGACTGCACAAATATGCCTTTAAAAGAGCCCAAACACACACACACACTGCATTTTGGTTCTTTTCCCCACATGAAGCCTAAGCCGATTTCAAATGTTTCCCCACCAGCTTAAATCAAGGCTCTGTGCACTACAAAAGCAGTTAAGCCATTAAAAAGGCAAAATAAAACATTCAAGTAGTAATCCACCAGCAGAGTTGATTACTAAAGAAAATATAAACAAACAGCAAAAAGACCTGTATCACTAAAATTCAGAGCCAAACTAGAACGCATTATTAATGTATCTATACCTGTCAATAACGGGGTCACAGTAGGCCTGTTCAATTTTCTCCATATCCTTCAGATCTTTCCACTGGGTCCCATTAAGTATTTGCCATCTGTATGGCAAATGGAAGTGATCTCGAATACACTTATCTAGACAAATAAAACCAAGTTGTGTTAAAACCCATGGGCTTTACAGAAGAAACACTGAGGGGCTGGTGCTAAACACACAGGATGTGAAGCAAACCACAAATGCTTGCAAGGAGAAAGCTGGGACAAGGCGTTCAGAATTTTCCATTTAACCAGTTGTCTCCATCCAGTTGAGGAGAGGGAAGCCTGCAAATCCAAGGCTCACTTAGGATTGATTAATCTACGTTCATACTAAACATGCAACTACAACCGAGACATTTGTCATTTAAAGTTACTACATTCATATGGTGTACTCAAGCACTCAAGGTGGTTTGCAATTTAAAATAATGGATTGCAAGCCAAGAGACATGACTCAAAAGGAAAAAGGAACAGCAAGGGAAGAGGAAGGTAAGCACCTATCATCTGGACCTTGTTCATGGCATGGAATGTAGGACAGCACACCCGAAACTGGCCTACAGGTTATATTATGCACAGGTAAAAGCATTTGGATTTTAGGACTACTAGGAACATGCCATCTCCAGATGGACCAAGGGGGAGGGGAGGACAGGTTTATACTCCCCCATTGCTACACATGAGCCAGATCAGGCTGAAGATATTGCCTAAACCAGTTACATAACAACTGCGTGGAATGGCTGGAGCAGTTCTGGGAGAGGGTCTTGCTGGCTCACCTTCCAAAGCAGCCAGGTGGGTGCAATGGTTGCTGATGGCATGATAGTCCCGATGTAGCCCTGCCAGTATAAAGGTATTAATACTTCCCTGTCTCTATCAGAATTGATTCTACTGATGCCTGCTGAGAATTCAGCCAGCCTACTTTGAAGTGAGTCATATGGGCAGCTTAGTCAGCTTGCAGTTAATCTAACAGCCAGCCATTTACAATATGGTGCTGAAGTGCAGAAACTTAATGCTACTGTAGGAGCAACAGAAGAGCTGCACATTTTTATTTAAAGTTGGTTTGAGAGAGGGAATTTTTTTTGAAACTTTTGTTTTGTTTTTAAACAAATAAAAATACAAGAACCATTAAACATCCAGTAGTACATCTAATGACCTCTAAGCCAGTGTTTCCCAAACTTGGGTCTCCAGCTGTTTTTTTGGACTATAGTTCCCAGCATCCCTAGCTAGTAGGACCAGTTGCAAGGATGATGGGAATTGTAGTCCAAAAACACAGCTGGAGACCCAAGTTTGGGAAACGCTGCTCTAGACATAAACTTACACATTCAACATTCAAACATTTTACTTATCGTAACCTCTCTACTGAGAATACTGAGCAGTTGGTATGACAAGGTCTTAATTTGGGCCATTAACATGGGGGGGGGGGTTAAGCCCCAAAAGTAAACTAATAAGTTTAGTAAACACTTAATAAATCAACACGGTAGAAAACAGAATAGCAAGGATGCTTAAATATTTGCAAATAATACTTTCCCATCACAAATGGATGGGAGACCTCTTCCACCAAGCTGGTCAGATCTTTGTCTGCCGTCACTCTGTGGGTCAACAATGACATGTGAGTGGGGCCACCCATACGTCAATCATCTGACATCATGGGGTAACACACTGGCAAAGCAGCATCCAGCAATACTGTACTCTCTGATGAAGGGTTTCATTCATCTTGCCATATGCCAGGGCCTGCTTCACAGGCAATGTGCTAGCAAACCAGCACCCAGCAGGACTGAGACTTGCCTTCCCAGCCAGTATCTAATGACACACATTGACATCAGATGATTTAAACGCTGGCATGGTTGGAGGAGAAATGGCCTCATGGGCCAAACTGGACTCCCCTGGTGGGCCAATATTGGCTTGTGGGCCAGAGATACCCCGGCAAAAGGGGAATCTTTATTGCATACAGTCCATGTTGGGTCATTTAAGAGACACCAGTCAATTCATATGCTCAAGCGCAGAATAAAGTAAAGGGATCTTCTTCAAAGTACATCTGTTGCAGGCAGGGGCAAGTAAAAGAGAGAGGCTAGCAAACTAGCCGACATTATTTTTCAAGTGGCTCAAGGCGAAATAAATAATAAAGCTTAAATCATAATTTCTTAGGGAATGATGGCAATAGGTCATTTTTGCAAAGTTTGAAAGTGCATAAAAACAAGGGGGGACGGGGGACGGACAGCGATACATACACACACATGCAAAAGAAAAGCTTGATAGAACCCACCACAGGTTTTATTACACTTACCTTGAAAGCTACAACTTTTCCTAATGTGGTATAAGCATATAAAATCTGAATCTTCGCTGCTGTTTGTGGTTGATGGTACCTGACCGCTGCTCAATTTTCTTTCTGAGAAAGCAGGAAAACACAGACTCTAGCTCAGTGTTTCACAACCTACGGACTGCACCCGGTAATTGGACTGCAAAGCCCGTGCAAGTGGGTTGCAGGCTTTATAAGTAAACCCAAAATTATTGCATGTAATCTTCAACTGGTATGATGAATACTTCTTCCAACATTTTGTTTTGTTTGCATATTCTTAGTATCATGACATATCTTTAGGTGACAGGTGAAAACATTTCTGTATAACCTTTGACTGATGAACACTGTATGGCTTTTTTAATGTGTTTGTGGGAAGGGGGTTATTGGTTTGTTTTTATTTTATCATGTATTTTGGGTTCTCTTTTTGTATTTTTATGTCGTGACCCACCCTGAGATTTTCAGATGAAGAGCGGTATATAAATTTAGCAAATAAACGTCTTGACTGCTCTGGGTTCCTGAGTACTTCGAGATCTGAAAACCCAGTTAAGAGCTGTCTTCCTCAAGTCAGTGCTTGAATAATAGTCATGCCTACTGGACATTTTAATTGAGGCAGTTGTTCATATTGTGCACAACCATTGCAACTTAAACAATGCATTCAATTCTGTAGATGGCAGGTTTGTATCGAAAAGTTCCACTATTGGCCAATCAGTTCATGTTATACATCTTATTATGTCCTTGTCCTTTAACGTATATAGGACAAACCAGAAGAGACTAGAATGTTTGCTCTGTGAGCATCAAAGCAAAATCTCTGCACACATCATGGAAGCCCAATTAATTAATGCAAGCCTACTCCTGAGGAGTTAAAAAGATTTTTTTTGCTACAGAACAAGTACACAGGTCTTTGTACAAAGGGCAAGATCCCCATGTAACATTACGTAAATGTGAGGCATACCGGGTTTCTACTTTTGAGCTCTGTAAATCCTAAAGGACTCAACAGTAAGTCTGACCAATCTGCATTATTGTAACATCTGTTTCCAATTACTAATAATTAGTCACAGGAGGTAGCAGGTTCACAGCTATTACAAATTATGTTTCATGAAAGTAGTGGTTATGCTGTTCTAGCCCTGGGAAGAGTGGGAGAATGTAATGGGTGAAATTTCCTATTTGCGTCCTTTATAAGGGTATTTCTTGCATATTTTGAAAAAGTGTATGATATATAACATTAGGTCATGTTCACAATGAAGAATTCATGATGAAAGCAGCTGCTCTGGTTAATGAGCTTTTATCAGTCAGAGGTGCATTTAAAGAAACTGGCTATAGCCCACAAAGAAGTTTTGTTGTTAAAACTCTTCCCAAGGACTCTAGATTACTTTGATGTGAAAAAGGCCAATTAGCTGAAACAGACCAGTGTTCTGTCTCCAACTATTATGCCATATTTATTTTACTCATTTTATTGTTTATTCTTCCTGTACAACTCAGCTTCCTATGTTCACAATTCCAAACTGCTGGCCAACTTAATAATTGGTCACATGGCCCCACTATTTTATCTGAAAGGTTCTCTTCTCCTTTCTTAGAAGGCAAGCCAAAATAGCTCTTAAAACTCGCAGTGCAGGAGCTACAGACCCTGCCTCCCCATCTCCTTCACTGGGCAAAAGATTATCAATATATTTACAGTACTGCTATATTGATCTGGCTGGGGAAACCCTGTCAGATGGGCAGGGTATAAATAATACAATTATAATTATAATAATTATAAACCTTCTGTTCCTGACGTTCACAGTGAGTAGCAGCTACTGTACTAGCAATATTGGCGATTTCTATAGTGTTATAAAAGAGAATGAAGCACTCTACCTCTGCTAGTTGATGCTGCTGAGCTATTTTTGATGTCATATGCATTCCTGTAGATCAAGGGAATTTTGGTGATCGTGGCGTGGCTCATTCCTCGCTTCTCCAGCTTCTCGTAACACTCCGAATTAGCAATGTCATGTGAGCGCTTGCAGGTACTCCCAAACCTGCACTCTCCTTGGAGGTAGTACTGACAAATGTGGAGTTTGACACAGATCTTCTTAAAGGTGCAAGATCCATAGGGCCCACCCCCTTTGTTATAGTATGGACATATCTAACAACAACAAAAAGGAGAAGGGGAAAAAATCAAGACACATAAATTCATTTAAAGCAAATAGACTAGAGTAAGATGTAAACACAGGACTAGCAATGCCTAAATGTTTTCAAGCAGCAAGAGAAACGCAAATGTGGCCCTGTAACAAAACTGCTGCAGCGTGGAGTGACTTTGTTCAGAGCTCCAGCACTCTATTCTATTCATATCTGTTTTCTGTCTTGTCACAGCACTCACTGAACATGCTCAGTCCTTATTGGCCTGCTTTGGAGTGTCTCCTCCCTTTCCTGTCTCTTCATTCTATACTTCCTCCCACTTGGCTGTCAGTCTCCACATCCCAACTTAGTCAGCCAACATTCCATGCCAATGAGTTATAATGGGCCCCCTGCCCAAAGGTTCTTTGCATAACTGGAAACCTTGGGGATAACCTCAAGTCTGCTCATAACTTTTTCTTGTGCATGGGTGGTGCTGTTTTGGCTTCATGTGCTCAGGCGTTAGAAGCTATGATTTAGTATTAGGAATGATTAATTCTCAAAATCTGAGGAGGAAAGCTTTTGAGCAATAAGTAACTTGGCTTTCTTGGACTCATCCTTTCTGTGTCTAGAATCAGCAGTCATGGGGGCTGCCATGTGTGTCATTACCAACCTATCGTACTGGCCCAGTATGTTAAGAATTACAAATCTAGTTGCCAACATGGTGACTTTTCAGTTGTGGCCTTCAGTTGTGTCAGTATTACTCCGTCATACACATGCGCCCAGTGTTCCAAAATTCCCCCAGGCACCACCCCCAGGAGATCTTCCCCCAGGAGATCTCTGGACGCCAGGTTGACAATGGACATCTCCATCTGGCTGGCCTTTCCAGCTTTCTTATGCAGGTAAGCAGATGAGAAATTGCATTTATTTCCCACTTTTTTCTCCAAGGAGCACATGGTTCACCCCTCTCTTCAGTTAATTCCTACAATAACCCTGTGAGGTAGATTAAGAGGCTGTGACTGGCCCCAAGTCACCCAGTGAGCCTCATGACTGAGTGGGGATTTGAACCCTGATCTCCCAGGTCCTAGTCCGACACTCTAACCCAGGGGTAGGCAAACTAAGGCCTGTGGGCCGGATGTGGCCCAATCGCCTTCTCAATCTGGCCCGCGGATGGTCCAGGAATCAGCGTATTTTTACATGAGTAGAATGTGTCCTTTTATTTAAAATGCATCTCTGGATAATTTGTGGGGCATAGGAATTTGTTCATTTCCCCAAAAAAATATAGTCCAGCCCACCACATGGACTGAGGGACGGTGGACCGGCCCGCGGCTGAAAAAGGTTGCTGACCCTTCCTCTAACCACTACACCACACTGGCTTCCTAGGGCACATCTGCTATGGGGCAGCTCTATAAATTAAGTAGGTATATAGATATGGGGAAGGCAAAATGTCACTTAGAGAAGGATCTGAAATATCTTCATTGAAGCTTGAATTTTTTTATTCTGGATTGTTTTATTTGATGTTTTAATGTGTTGTATACTGCTTTGATAATAAATAATGAATTTCATGGTAAAAAAGGGTGCCTAGACATTCCATTGCAACGACCATAACCTAGGTTTAAGCTGCCATTTGGCAATTAGCTTATATATCTGTTTCAAACACTGCCTACGCCCTAAGAGGAAGCAAGCTGCAGAGTTTTATCCCTTGCTGCCAGGCAAAATTAGATAACTTTCATTACTGATGTTCTGTAACAGAATACTTGTTACTAGAAATGTGAAGTCTTGGAAAGGGTGGATTAAATTTTTCTCCAACCCAGGGTTTTTTTTTGGGGGGGGGGGTGGAGGCTTCACATCTCTATTACCAAGGCTTTTTTTCCCAGCCAGAACTCAGTTGTGACACCTCTCAGGTGGGCACCATTGCCATTCTAAGAGAACAGGGGAGGTGTTCATGGTGAGTTCCACCACCACTTTTTCTAGAAAAATAGCACTGTATTACTAAAATGAAACAAGGGCCCTCTGGCTTAACCCCCAAGATGATTTTTCCTCTACTTTTGAGCAAATGTGAAGCAGAGATGACATGCCACAGGTGCCAATCTTTGCCTTCCATTCCAACTTACTTATTTTATTTCCCCATCAGAACAATGACAACACACCTGAAAACACTGCAGTTTGCACCAAAAACTTTAGAATCTACATCCACAATACATAAAATCATTAAAACACATGGAAGTAATTGGATTACAAGAGCGGCATATTTTAGCCAGCACCCTGTCTTGGACTAAATAGCCAGTGAGATTTCAAGAAAGTTCCCAAGGCAAGATGGCAACTGACATCAGCTCCAGGTACACACTGCCTCCAATCATGGCCATTTCATTCCCAGCTATTGCTGCTAAGAAGTAAGCACTTGCAGACCCATTTCCTCCAAATATTCATGGCAAAGCCCATTATAGCATCCTGTGGCAATTAATACATCTTATATAGAGTCTGACCATTGGTCCTTCTCACAAAGTACTGCCTAGCAACTCTCCAGGATTTCAGACAGGAAACATTCCCAGACCTACCTGAAGCTGCTGGGGATCGAACATGGGACCTTCTGTATAAAATGCTGGTGCTCTACCCTGAGCGACAGCTGTTCCCCAACCATTGTTTCATTATCAAACACACAACACGTCCAATGACTCTTAACTACTTCTCATTATGAGAAATCCAGCTACACCGAGGCCCTTGAGCCATAAACTTATTTATTATTTATTTTCCACTCATAATTTCAGTATGGTTTTTCAAGGCAACCCAGCATTCGCCTTTACTACTGGTGCTTGAACTCAAGGTATTATAATCTTAAATCTGCCTTAATTTTTCATCTTCTTGTACATTTCCTTGACTTGCTGTTGGGCAGAAATGTATAGAAATAAAATAAACAAACCGCTTAAAAATGAACAAAAGAGAACCAGCCATAATAGCAGAGATCAACTAAATTCAATTTAAGGCCACTGAATGCCCTAATGAAAAATTTTTTTTAACTAGCATAGAAAGAGCCTGCTGCATCAAGCCAGTGGCCCATCGAAGCCAGTATCCTGTTCTCACAGTGGTCAACTGGATGCCATTGAAGTGCCAAACAGGTGCAAGGAAGCAATTGTGAAGACTTCTTCACTGTATTCCACCACTCTGAAGTGGAGAACATCTCCAGCACATCAGAAATATCATAAGCTGCAGAACTAACTTAAGTAACAACAAACCTTGTAAACAGCCAATTGCCTATAAAGACAATCAGGCAGTGAAGATTTACCAAACATGCTCCTTCCATTTGGAACCAAAAATAACCAACAAAGAGGCATGCATTTGCACTAGTAATTTCTGAAGGACTTACAGTGGTACCGCAGGTTACAAACGCCTCAGGTTACATACGCTTCAGGTTACAGACTCTGCTAACCCAGAAATAGTACCTCAGGTTAAGAACTTTGCTTCAGGATGAGAACAGAAATCGTGCAGCGGCAGGCCCCATTAGCTAAAGTGGTGCTTCAGGTTAAGAACAGTTTCAGGTTAAGAACGGACCTCCAGAACGAATTAAGTACTTAAGCCAAGGTACCACTGTACTTGCAAGGCTGTAGTAACACACAAATAACTGACATATCCTTTTCAAGAATGTGGGGGATGCATACACATACAAATCATTAAAGAGGGGTTTCATCGCATTCTTGCAATGCTTTAGGCAGGGCATATTGTAACCTTTTCCTTATCTCTCTAAGCCAAGCAAAAAGCACATTCCTTGCACCAGGAAAGAAACACATTGAGCTCAACTCACAACATGCTGGTTGGTTTTGCTCACACATTATAATGGCTATCTCAAGTTTACAATAGCTGCTTGAACACCGCAGCTACATGGTTTAATCACTTTCATTTAAAATAAATTAACGGAAGTACAAGCTGGAGTTCTCTAATCAAGTTCCTGAAGGGTCCAAAGGTCCAGATATCTGGTATGCTCACTGGTTGTTTAGAGATTCATTAAAAGTCTCATCATTCACGAGTGAAAGTCCTCACCTCAGGTAAGAGTGAAGCATCATTCTGAAGCAGAAGCTGACACAATTCATCATCCTTTAAGCTTTCGAGCCCATGCTCTTTTAGGACAGGGAGGTTATGGGGTGAATGAAAGTCATGGATGAACTTGCATGGCTTCCTGTAAATTTCGAAAACATTAAACATGCTTGTAATAGCATTCTGCTTTTACCATCAAAGATGAACTGAAGCTGCATGTTGTTCATAGCCAAAGGTAATCATGCAGCCCAATTCTATGCAGGTTTACTTGGAATAAATATCAACGTGTTTATTGGGGCTTACTCCCAGGTAAGTACATATAGGACTACAGTTCCAGCAATCTTTGTCCAACAGCAATTTGGAAAATATATACATATTTTAATTTATATACAGCTTAATTGCTGAAACCTCTAAATGGGTTTCCACAGAACAAAAAATATACACCAAAATTTTAAAAGTCTTAAGTTAAAAACAGGTTGAAGGTAAAACTATGGGTTCTGTTTTTTAAAGCCCAATTTATCAAGTTTCATCATCTTGAAATTCAAGAGATGCCTGAAAAAGCAGAAGTGCATGATTAGGACAGGACAAATGAATGGAGAAAGCAAGCAGTGTCACATGAGTTCAAGCAAAATGAAGTGGACTGTATTCACAAAGGCTTATATAATTTAAATATAATTATATAATTTATATAATTTTTTAAAAGACATTGCAAGGCTGTTGTTTTTGCTGCAACAAACTAACATGGAAAACGAGTTCACAGTATGTTTTAAGATCTCCTGAGCAAGGAGGTAAAAACATAGGTGAAAGAAAGATAGATGGGGGTAGTTTTAACAGTCACAAACAACACTCATGAACTCCAAAGTTATAATTTGCTTTACTATGTATTAGTACTTGTATACAGCTTAGCTCCAAACTATCTGAAAGACTGCATTCCCTTATAGGAACCTGCTAGGGTTTTGAGGGTTTTTCCTACGTTTTCAATAGTTCTCATTTTTATCTATCAGTTGCCTTGAGTCCCGTCTAGAGAAAAAGACATTAATAATAGTATGCAAACATGATGTACTGTAAAACTAATGGCAGCAAGAATCACAAACTGTCCTTTGATTGGTCGTTTAAGTCTTTGGGAATTGGGCATAACAAAAGCAAGCAAAATAAATCCATTTAAAAATTAAATTAAAATGGCAAAGACACCTTACCAGAGACCACCAAATTTAATTTTTACCTGAATGATTTGCATACTGGCAAAAAGAAGAAGAAAGCCATCCTCTTTCAAAAGTTTGCTTTTGGTAAAAATATGTTCACATATGGGTTGCTATATGTCCTCTTTTTACAGGACACGCACTCCTTTTCATGGTGTTCCATGAAAGTAAAAAGTGAAAGTCGGCAAATGTGTCCTCTTTTTGTCTCTTCAAAATTATGCAACCCTCTACAGAAGGTAAACTCAACTTATTTCCATGGCACATACTAACAGAATGCAAAAAAGGGAACGTTTAAAACCGTACGTACTTCCTTACACGTCCACATACACTAGAGCCTGGGACTTCGAACAATGGTAGCAAGAGAAGCTCCGCCCCACACTTAAAAGTCGGGGAAGATGGACGGAGGAGTCTCGCCCCCCACAGCTCAAACATTCACTCTTGAACAACAACTCGGGGCTGCCCGGCACTTCCCTCGCCCCGCCCCAATCCAGCTACACGGCTCGGGATCTACAAACCGGTTCAGCTTCCCCCGTCCACGCACCGCAATTCTCTTGCAGTCCCGACCCTGGGCGCAAAAGTTTACCCGGAAGCAAGTCCGAACAAAGCTCATTCAATAGCAACCCTAGTTTTTGCGGGAGTGGGGTCGCTGCCCCGCTTGCACGACGCCCTTCCTCAATAGTAACCCTCCGCTCCCCACCCACGGCAATCCTAGACGACGCTCCCTATGGAGTAAGAAAACAAGCACCCCATTAACTCGAGGGGTGCGTCTTGCTTCCGAACAAACACGCCGGCGATGAAGCATTTTTTGGGGGGGGGTTGAAGGGGGTCTCCGCCGGCCTTACCTGCCGTCCAGGTTACGGCACCCGCCGCCCACGAAGTAGCGGCAGACGTGCAGCTGCCGGCAGTGGCCCTGGCACTTCCCGCTGCCGTGCTCCGGGCACAGCCGCGCCCCGGTGGTGGCCACCACGACCTGGGCATCTCCATCTTCTCCTCCTCCTTCGGCCGCCGAGGGGGCCTCCTCCCGGGTCACCACCGTGAACTTGCGCGCGTCCTGGAACAGCGGGCCCAGGAGCTCCGCGCTCACGCCGAGGGCCACGCGCCGGCATAGCTCGTCCTGGCGCAGGCAGCCCCCCGACGTGCACAGCTCCCGCAGGGCCAGGGAGGCCAGCCTCTGCGAAGTGTAGCGGTCCATGCTGGCTGGGGGTCAGCTTTTGCAGAAGGCCGGCGCTCCCGCCGAAGCTGCTGCTCCTCCTCCTCCGCTACTACTAGGAGGAGACCTGCCCGATTCCCGCCTTCGCTAGGAGACGACGACCACCGTCCCTTTCCCCACCTCTCCACTTCCGCCCCTGCCTCCCGTGATCTCTCCCCGGCCTGAGGGAGAAACGAAACCGAAAGCCACGAGTTGCTAGGGCGACGGAGCCAAGGAAGAGGCGCGGCTTGCTTATGCATCTAGCTCGGTGTTGTGTACACGGACTGGCAGCCGCTGGCCAGGGTTTCAAGCAAGAGGCGCGCTCATACAGGATTGAACCCGGGACATTTTGCTCTCATGTGTGCTCTGTGTAGAATCATAGGACTGAAAAGTTGGAAGGAGTCCCCAAGGTTCAGCTGGTTCAAACCCCTGCAATTTAGGAATCATCCATGACAGATGGCCATTAAACCTCTGCTTAAAACCTCCAGTGAAAGAAAGGCCACCACTTCTCGTGGGAGTCTGTTCCACTGGCGAAACGCTCTTACTGTTAGAAAGTTTTTCCTGATGTTTTTCCTGCCGCTGAGCAGTACAGACTTAATCGGGGAATATCCCATTGGATTCATGTAGACTTTGTTTTATTCATTTACTAGATCAAGGCAGCACACAGCCTCCATTTTATCCTCACAACAACCATGTGAAGTAGGTTAGGCTGATAGGGACTAGCTCAGGTGAGCTTGGTGGCTGAATGGAGATTTGAATCAGTCTCCCTGGTCCTTGTCTAGCACTCAAACCACTACACCATAGTGGCTTACTTCTGAGTAGACATGCACAGGGCTGCACTCCAGTGGTCACCATTAATAACTTCTTTTTTCCCTGAGTTTTTTTGTGCTCAGGCAAATGTGTACTTTTTTGGAAAATACCAGGGCTTGAAGTCTTGTGCTCCTTTATTTAGAACTCCTTGGAACTCACTTCTGAATAAGTCTGCATTGCACCACATTGAATGCTTTTACACAAGTGAGTTGAACAATTAAGGAGTAAATCTACAATCAACACAGAACCAATGACACAAATTAATCAATTACATCTAGCAGCCCCAAGCAGAAGTTATAAGACCAATGGCCAGCCACTTAGGTCTTGACACTTGCTTCAGTATATGAGACCAAAACATGAGGGAAATGCATGGAAAACATTTCAGCAGCAGAAACCTACTTTTAATGGATTGTTAAGAAATACTTTTAAAGAACTGATTCCTTCTCACAACTTACACTTGAAGTCAGACATTAGTGCGAGCAAAGATCCTATGCACCAGATAGAATTGCTTAAACATTTGGCTTAGAATAACACAGCATTTGATAAGAATATTGGTACCGCTTCGATGGGAAGGTAAACGGCATTTCCGTGCGCTGCTCTGGTTCGCCAGAAGCGGCTTAGTCATGCTGGCCACATGACCCGGAAGCTGTCTGCGGACAAACGCCGGCTCCCTTGGCCTGTAGAGCGAGATGAGCGCCACAACTCCAGAGTTGTCCGCCACTGGACCTAACGGTCAGGGGTACCTTTACCTTTTTATAATTACGATTACAGAAAAGGCCAAAGGATCATTATCCTTCCAACAAAAGCTATCCAGTGGAGGTTTGCTGCAAATACTCCATTTTAGCACGATTGGGCCCCATTTTCTGCTCCCTGCCCTTATTTTTGGCTGTTGAAAACATCTGGCTAACATTTTGTTAGTGTGGGTTTCTGGTGTTGTCATCTCCCAGGCTGAGTGCCCTCAGAAAAGTTAAATGAATAACAAAAAGATGCAGCTTCAAAAAGGGGTTTATTGTGGGATCAGTGTTTTTTGCCGCATTCACATGATATCCTAGGCATCAAAATGTGAACACATATTGCTCCCCTCCCAATTTAATCCAGGTATACGCTTTTTAGGGGAAACTTGATAAATTAAAACTGTTGCCAATGAAGCAAGAAGTATTTCTGTCACTGTGGTGGTTGACTTTCAAGCCACAAACTCTCTAGAATGACCCTTTGTGATATCAGAATGACCCATCTGTAAGATTAACCCCTTTCTAGAAGCACCCTTCATTTCTAGGGAATTTATCAGTAAATGCAAAGCACCTATACAACACATAGACTGTCATTTCATACCCCACAATTACCAAGGTATTGATGTCCTGAGCCACTTAAGGCTTTATTGATTAAAACTGGAACTCGGAATTGGGCTCAGAAATGAATTGGTAGCCAATGCTGTTGTGCCAGGATTGGTGTAATGCCAATCAGATCATCTTGCCCCAGTCTGACGCAGCTGCATTTTCCAAACTGTCTTCAAAAGCAGCCCCACATACAAAGCATTGCAGTAATGATGATGTACTTCAGCTCCCAAAAAAACTTGCCCTCTGAGCAGGGAATCAAACAGATTCACCAGCATCAGAATAGCAAGTTTTAGTCAGGTGACTGAGAATCAAATTGTGTGAAGGAGACACACTCAGAGAAATTCAGGTGTGACAGGGAATGAGGTTCTTCAATATATGCTTATGTCACATGAGTGAAATATATGACATTTGTGCGTACCACACACAAAATCAGATGCAGTGCTACAAAAAGGCCACATTGTGGAGCTAGTGTCTTTCCTTCGTACATCACAGCAACTTGAGAAATTGATGGATGGAATGTTTGCCGCTTACAAAAGCAATGATTGTGTCTTCTTGCTTCCGGTTCCCAGGCATTCACTGAAAAAGATACACAGAGAAAATATAGCAACTGTGTTCTCAAACAAGGTTTTGTTTGGATTAGCTACTTCTTTTAAAACCAGCATTGTGAATACTGCTCTCCTGTCATGCAAAGTTCCCTCACCCATTAAGCTTTAACTCAGCCCAGCAACTGATGGGGTCAACTAATACTATTTATTTACTTACTTTTATACACATTGTGAAATCCAAAGCAGCACACATTCCCAGATGGTCTCCCATTCAGGTAGTGAGAAAACCCAGATCTGCTTAGCTGCTACAGCAAAGTGATATCCAGGGACCATTAGCTAACAGGCAGTTGTTCACAGGCATATGGAATATGTTGTTTAGTCATGTCCGACTCTTCGTGACCCCATGGACCAGAGCACGCCAGGCACTCCTGTCTTCATATGGAATATACCTTGAGGCATATCCAGCTATTATTATCAATCGTCTCCAACCTTTTCATACCTGAGCCTTTGGCCAAAACATGTAGCTGGGGACCCACTTCTTAATATTTTCATTTTATTTATGTATTAAATCTGTACACTGCTCTTCATGAGAGCCAGTGTGGTGTAGTGGTTAAGAGCGGTAGACTCGTAATCTGGTGAACCGGGTTCGCATCTCCGCTCCTCCACATGCAGCTGCTGGGTGACCTTGGGCCAGTCACACTTCTCTGAAGTCTCTCAGCCCCACTCACCTCACAGAGTGTTTGTTGTGGGGGGAGAAGGGAAAGGAGATTGTTAGCCGCTTTGAGACTCCTTCGGGTAGTGAGAAAGCGAGATATCAAATCCAAACACCTCTTCTTCTTCTTCTTCTTCATCGTCAGAAGATTCCAGGGCAGTTCACAACAGAAAAATACAAAATGAGAATACAACTGTTCTCTACTGTTTTTTTTTAATTTTTCAAGCAGACTTGGACCACACAGCCCTACAGACAGAAGGCTCCTTCAAACAAAGAACTGTTCTGTAAAGTAGGACACATGACCACCCTAAAGGGCCTTTTCAGTGGTGGCTCCTTGACTGTGGGATGTTCTCCCAGGGATGCTTGCCTTAATGTCATTTTAGCTCCAGCTATAGTCTTTTTATTAATTCTTGTAGGCTTTTAAATCCTCTGGATGTTGCCTTTATGCTGCTTTATGTTTTTAAAATTCATTTGACTGCTTTTATTCTGCTTTTTTTTAAATCTTGGGGCATTTGAATGTTCTTGGTTTGATTCATTTTATGGTGATTTAAACTTTTTTTGCAAGCCACCCTGAGATGCTAACAATGTATAAACAAAACAAATGCTTTTGTGAGCTAGCTCTGTGTTGCAGGTAAATAAACATAGTAAAGCTACTTTTAAAAATGATAATAATGGTGAGACACATGACCAGAGTGGGACTAACAACCAGTGCTTTTTTCTGGGGAGACGCAGGGGTACGCATACCCCTAAACATTTTGTGAATCTTTGTCCTTTTGTCCATTTACTGTATTTTTTTCCCCAATTTGAACTATAAAATGGTGATTTTTTTTTGAGTCAAAATGAGAGTACCCCTAAACATTTTTTTGAAGAAAAAAAAGCACTGCTAACAACGGAACCTATACATGTCTCTTCAGAAGTAAATTCCATTAATTTCAGTAGAAATTATAAAGGTATGAAATTACACCTGAGGTTTACAATCCTATGCACAACGGGTTTCTGAGTAAGCATGCATTCTGTAAGGCTGCTTTGTCCTCTTGTTGTAACAAATGTATATCAGGACTGGGGAGCCTGTGACCTTCCAGGTGCTTTGGGACCTCAATTCCTATCAGCTCCAGCCAGCTGCCAGGGAAGATGGGTGCTGTGGTCCTCAACAACATCTGGAAGGCCACCTTTGATGTGCATTTTAGGGGAATATGCCCCGCTCATGACTTCCTTGTGGATTTATGTGCATTTTAGATGAGCATCCTCTTTGCTTGGAGCAAAATATAATATTAAATGTGGCACTTCAACCAAGTGCAAAACAGTGGGACATTTTTTTAAAAATTGATGGATGATTAATCCAGATATGCTTGGCTAGGTGTATTTTTGGGGTGGTGGTGGATAGGAAATGAACAAAAGAAATGATGCTCTCAGCATCTTTGAAGAAAAGTAAAGCATTTTTTAAATAAAAAAAATGGTATGTTCAGATCTGTTCCTCGTTGTTGCGGTTTTCAATTGTTCCCTTCTCAATGGGACTTCCCAACAGAGGGCACTGCCTTGGGTTATATGGTGCCAAGGAAGCATTTGCCAGAGAAGTACTGCTGAGTAGGAATTATCCTTGAAAAAGGCTACCTTGTGGCATTGGGGAGATGTATATGATGTGTGTGCATGAACATGCATTGTGTGTGCTGCAGACATCCCGTCCATGTGCTGATGCAGCCCCTCCAAGTTCCTTCTGGAACTTGACACTTGCACTAATATAATAAAATGGGAGAGTGTGGTCAATGTGAAACTAGGACCAGCTCT